AAAAAAAAAATCACGATATCCAATGTTGGCATTATTGAGAGGAAAACATGATTTGGCAACATGTATTAAGAGGCTTAGACCGGGTGCAGTGGCTCACGCCCGTAATCCCAACACTTTGCTAGGCTGAGGTGGGAGGATTGCTTAACCCAGGAGTTCAAGACCAGCCTGGGAAACATGGCGAAACCCGTCTCAACAAAAAAGGAGCGGGGCGTAGTGATGCGCGCCTATAGTCCCAGCTACTCGGGAGGCTGAGGCAGGCGGATCCCTTGAGCACAGGAGGCAGAGGCTGCAGTGAGCTGAGATCGTGCCACTGCACTCCTGAGCAACAGATTGAGACCCTGTCTCAAAATAAATAAATAAAAAGGCCTTAAAAGTGTTTATTATCTTATTCCTAGTAATATGACGCTGAGCAGTTTAAACACATAAAGTGCACGAAAGAATTATGTATGAGGATATTCTTTAAAACAAGGAAATGGTCACTTAAAGTGAAAAAGGCAATTTACAAAGTACATTTTTTTTTCTTTTTTGAGACGGAGTCTTGCTCTGTCGTCCAGGCTGGAGTGCAGTGGTGCAATCTCGGCTCACTGCAAACTCCACCTCCCAGGTTCAAGCGATTCTCCTACCTCAGCCTCCTAGGAGCTGGGATTACAGGGGTCTGCCACCATGCACAGCTAATTTTTGTCTTTTTAGTAGAGATGGGGTTTCACCATGTTGTCCAGGCGGGTCTCAAACTCCGGAACTCAAGTAATCCACCTCCATCAGCCTCCCCAAATGCTCGGATTACAGGCGTGAGCCACCGCACCCTACCAAATACAATATTTCAAAAGAATTCACGGAGTGGAAACAGGCACATACCAAAGAGGCAGTTGTGGATCCAGTAGCCCTGCCTCCAATTCTCACAATTTACAGATTCAATCTTAATTCCCATTCCCTCATCCCAAGAGAAGTAGAAAAATACCAATATAGCTGGAATAATGTCAGGTGGAAATAACTCAGAAGCCACTCAAGGGAAAAGGCATGCAGAGGGGCCTAAGGGAGCCAGTAGGATTCCAATTCTGGTTACAGAAAAATCCAAGTCAAAATTACTCTGACAATCTAAAGGAATGAGATATTAATTATGTTCCCCTGGGGTTGTGAAAAACAGCCCTGCCTTTTGGAGATTAGAAGTGAAGCAGGTGCCGGGCACGGTGGCTCAAGCCTGTAATTCCAGCACTTTGGGAGGCCGAGACGGGCGGATCACGAGGTCAGGAGATCGAGACCATCCTGGCTAACACGGTGAAACCCCGTCTCTACTAAAAAAATACAAAAAACTAGCCGGGCGTGGTGGCGGGCGCCTGTAGTCCCAGCTACTGCGGAGGCTGAGGCGAGAGAGAATGGCGTGAACCCGGGAGGCGGAGCTTGCAGTGAGCTGAGATCCGGCCACTGCACTCCAGCCTGGGTGACAGAGCGAGACTCTATCTAAAAAAAAAAAAAAAAAAAAGAAGTGAAGCAGGTAAGAACCATATCTAAAGCAAGGGAAGAAGCCTCCCTCAGTAGGTGGTTGATAGGGGTTTGAGAATCATCCAAGTTAATCAGGGTGACTATAGATAATCCGAGTGTGTTATATCCTGACAGAAAGCAGGGTGGATGTGCTTTGGCAAAAACAAAATAGAGACCAAGTTGCAGGCATGAGTGGACCAGTGCCCATGACTCTCTTTCAGTAGCCTACAGTAGATAGAGTGCTCTGACTTACCCGAGAAGTCCTGCTTGGCTGGAGAAGGGCATCAAGCTATTTATCAGTGCCTCATGCCCTTGACAGTTAAGATCATGAGAGGTTTATTTCAGAGAAAACAAACTTGACAGGGGCGTCTGCCCAAGTTAGGTCAGAGGCACACTCTTACAGACTAAGTAAGTTTTTAAGGATTCGGGGTGGGAGAGTTTATCAGAGGCTTGGATTGCTTCTGCATCTCTTTGTTGCGCTTATCTGGGAGGGAGAGTTGTGTTCCCATACATCTTTCTGCAGCTGCAGGCATACCTACCCCCGAGTCTAATTTTTGTATTTTTAGTAGAGAGGGGGTTTCACATGTTGGCCGGGCTGGTCTCGAGCTCCTGACCTCAGGTGATCCTCCCGCCTCGGCCTCCCAAATTGCTGGGATTACAGGCGTCAGCTACCTGCGCCCTGCCTAAACTGTTCGGGTTCTAACATTCCAGCATCTCCCTGCGGAACGCAGCCAGGCCTTAATCAGGCCTTCCAAACAGGACTCTTGCAGTTCCTGGGGCTGGTCTGGGGTCGAGTCTCCCTGGGGCCACGTTTTCTAAACGTATCACTTCCAGGATACGTGCCTCCACCAGAAGGAGGGAAGGCTAGGAAACAAAAACGTGGATGCGGGTGAGGAGCTGTCAGGGTTACCGCCACGACAACCTGGACCCTGGGGAACTCGGAGGTGCCACTCAAGAGCCGAAAACCTGCCCACTCGGGGTGGGGCGGCAACCCGGAGAGCCAATCAGGAATAAGGAGTCCGATTCATGAAAATGTAGCCGAATTCTGACTGGGATACTCACTGTGAGAAGGCGGGGCAGAGTTGCAGAAAGTCAACGGAAGTCGGATCTCTGAATTTCTGTTCTGTTCTGTAGCAGCCTCCTAGGCGGGGCCAGGAAAAAAATCCCGGTCTCCCGGCCTCGCCCCGCCTTCCACTAGTCTGCGCTGACTGGGCGGCGAGGGACGAGGGGGAGCCAATCAGAAGTCAGGACTCGCGGGGCTTGGAGGAGGGGCGCGGGGGCTGCGGCCCCTGCGGACCCTGCGGACCCTGCTGTACCTCCTGGCCACAGTGCCGGGCCGAGGCCGCAATACCCGGCTGCTGGAGAGCGGGATCCACCCCAGGACGTCGGGTCGCTGCGGGTGAGCCAAGGAGGGGAAAGCAGAGACGAGCCCCGCGTCCCCGCTGCGGGAGTCGGGGGCGTCCCCGAGGGCAGGGAGTCTCGCTGCGAGTGTGGAGCTGCGAGTCCTACGCCTCAGGCTCCTCCAGTCCGCGCTACCCTCAGCTCGCTGCGTGCGTGATGGGCAAGTCACCCTTCTCCCCGGACCTCACCTGTAACCTAGGAGGGCTGAGCTGGGCCCCCAGAATGAAAGCGTGGCACCCGAGAAGCTGTCGAGGGCAGCCCTCCCAGGTCTGTGTGGGGTCGCTGGCCGAGGACTGTGCCGGCGCCTGGCAGGTGTCTACTGGGAGCAGTCTCTGAGCTCCACTGGACCTCACTGATAACGCTGCGAACCTGACTCGTGCGCCCTCCTCCTCTCTTTTCCTGCCTCTTGGTTCAGCAGCCCCTCCACAGCCCGCTCACCCACCACTCTTTCCCCTTCACCCACCAGGAAGACCCTTAAAAGCACCTAGTAGTGTATTGTTGTCTTTGAAAAACTACAGATGCTAGATTCCCCACCTTTCTGTTTCATGATCCCCTTGGGTGTGAACTGCCCCATGGGTCTGTGGAGTGAAGGTCACCCTTGGTTCACCATTTAATATTAAATAAGGGACTAGCCTAGGGGCTGAGAATACAGACATTGACTGGGTATAATCCCTTGGAAGGACGCAGCAAAAAGGAATGTAGGAGAAGAAAGGTAGAGTTGGAAGACATGCTAAGGTTGAATTTACTAGACTTTGTTACACGTTGGGAGTGAGGGACAGGAAAGAATCAATAATGACTCCAGTTTCTTGTCTGGTATACTTTGCACAAAGTACAGAGCTTAAGGTCCAGCCCCCGCTGGCTGTAGGACAAAGGTGGTGAGAGTCTGGCGCAGATCCTGGAGTTGGAAATCACACTTGCTTCCTGCGGGCTTTTTCAGGAGCTAAAATACTGTTGGCCGGATATATAGAGCAACAACCTATAGTACCTGAATTCCTCCTCTCCTTTTGAATGAAGTTGGAAAAAAGGTTAATAATTTTTAAAAATGTGTGAGTGGGCAACATAGCGAGACACTGTCTCTAAAAAAATAAAAATAATAAAATTAAATTAAAAAGACAGGCATGATGGCTTGCACCTGTAATCCCAGCACTTTGGGAGACCAGGGTAGGAGTATTGCTTGAGCCCAGAAGTTCGAGATCAATCTGGGCAACATAGTGGGGCCCTGTCTTTACAAAAAGTAAAAAAAAAAAAAAAAAAAAAAGCCAGGCGTGGTGGCACCTGCCTACAGTCCCAGCTACTTGGGAAACTCAGGTGGGAGGATCCCTTGAGCCCAGGAGTTGGAAGCTGCAGTAAGCAGTGATTGCGCCACTACTCCAGACTGGGTGACAGGGTGAGACCTTGTCTCAAAAAAAAGAGAATTCCTCTCCATACATAGGAGACATTTGATTAAGATGGACATGTCTGATAAACGTATTTTTTTCTTTGTTTTTCTTTACTTTCAGGAGTTGATCTGTGCCATTAGTTCTATGATTTGGAGCCCTTGTATAAAGAAAAAAGGCAAACTTAAAAGAACTTTAGCGGCATAGAATACTAGAGCTAGGGCCGGGCGCCATGGCTTATGCCTATAATCCCAGCACTTTGGGAGGCCGAGTCGGGTGGATCACGAGGTCAGGAGATCGAGACCATCCTGGCTAACACAGCGAAACCCCGTCTCTACTAAAAATACAAAAAATTAGCCGTGTGTGGTGGCGGGCGCCTGTAGTCCCAGATACTCGGGAGGCTGAGGCAGGAGAATGGCGTGAACCCGGGAGGCAGAGCTTGCAGTGAGCCGAGATCGTACCACTGCACTCCAGCATGGGCAACAGAGCAGGACTCCGTCTCAAAAAAAAAAAAAAAGAATACTAGAGCTAGAGGAGACTTTTAGTAATAATCTAGTCCAACTCTGTTTTAGAGGAGAACATGACTAGTCCAGAGTTTCAGAGGTTAGGTAGCAGAGCTGGGACTAAAATATGTCCTATTTCTCCCAGCACAACTTTTTATTACATCAGTCTCTTTGGATGGCCAGAGCTACCAACCTTGCTTTATATGGCTATGGAAAACAGGGCTCTCCTAAAAGGAGCTTAACAAGTCAAAGATTGTATGGGAACATCTGGACTAGAAAGGAGATTGGCCTTCACCAGTTTCCTCTAAGGTTCCTTCCAACTTTAGGAACTTATCATTCATTTCAAATTCAGAATTGTTCTGACATCTCTCACACTTTGGGAGTTGAAAATGACTCCAGGAGTTCATCTTGGAGTTAATGCTTCAGTTCATATTACATTTTGAATACTTACCTTATACCAGTTTACCTATCTCCAGAAGGAATGTTAAAATTCCTTGTAAAGTTTTAAGCCTAAATACAGTGTGACAGGATGTGTTGGTTCCCAGAAGTTTCAAGTGCAAAGATTGTTTTGAAACTCCATTTAGGCTTTGTCACAATATTTTCAGTGAACAAAATCTGAATGGCCTAACTTGTTTCTCAAAGCAAATGCCTGGTTAGAAAGTAAACAGGAAACATGATTGTCAAGAATGCATTAACTTGCAGTAACAGGTGATGGAAACCGACCAGTGGCACAAGCTATGCAAGTTAAGAGGCTGGAGCAATCACTTTGGGTAGGAGGATCAGGGAAGGCCATGGAGGGGGGTAGGGGGTGGTTAGCGTTTGAGGTTTACCTTTCCCCCCGCCCCTTCCTTCCTTCCTTCCTTCCTTCCTTCCTTTTTCTTTTCTTTCTTCTTTCTCTTTCTCTTCTCTCTTTTCTTTTCTTTCTTTTTGACAGAGTTTTGTTCTTTCCCTTAGGCTGGAGTGAAGTGATGCGGTCTCATCTCACTGCAACCTCCACCCCTCTGGGTTCCAGTGATTCTCCTGCCTCAGCCTCCTGAGTAGCTGGGATTATAGGCGCCAGCCACCACGCCCAGCTGATTTTTATTTTATTTTTATATTTTTTTTATTTTTAGTAGAGATGGGGTTTCATCATGTTGGCCAGGCTGGTCTTGAACTCCTGACCTCAGGTGATCCACCCACCTCAGCCTCCCAAAGTGCTGGGATTATAGGCGTCAGCCACTGTCTCTACCTACCCTTATTTTAACTTGAGTCATCAGGCTATAGTCCTGGGATTGAGGCAGGGAGGGGGTCATATAGGAGATTTCTGGTGTGTCTTCCTGAATGTTATCCCCTTTCCCTCACTGGAGTTAGGTGGGTTTTTGCTGTGACAGAGCCAAGTAAATTAGGCATTAACAGACATATGGTCTGGTTTTTGGAGTTCCAAGAAAGTCCTAAGATCCACCTCCCTTTTCCTAGCCAGTTTCTCAGAAGGGCTCTTTCTTTTTTAAAGGTAAATTTTACATTCAGTGGTATTCACAGATCTTACTAGTTTACTTAGGTTTTAAGTTTTGACAAATGTAAGCCATGTAACCAAAAACTAATCAAGATGTAGAACACTTGCCTCTCAGAAAGTTCTCTCATGCCCCTTCCCTGTCAGAAGCAACACATCTTCCACTTTCCAGAAAAGCTAACTGTTCATGAGATTCTTTATTTTTTTTCAATAGAGAAGGGGGTCTCATTATGTTGCCCTGACTAGTTTCGAACTCCTGGCCTTGAGTGATTCTCCCACCTTGGCCTCCCAAAGTTCTGGCTGGGATTACAGGTAGGAGCCACTGTGCCCAGCCCATATGATTGTTTTTATATAATACTGTATCCCCTGAACAGCAATCAAAACATACCCTAAAATGCAGCTCACTCTCACGATGTTATCAATTATTTACAACTTAGTATGAAAGAAGGATTAGAAACAACATGAGATCGTAACAACCTTAAATATTTGGTTCCTGAAGGATGTTCAGAAGTCCTACATTGTCTTTCATATGTAGCTAGATGCTCAGGAAATATACCAGCTATGAGTAGCAGAGGGTGGAATTACCAAGTAAAAGAAAACAGTCTCCTGCCTCCCCCATGTATCCAAATCATACTTAAAAATTCAAGGCCCAGCGTAGTGCTCATGCCTGTAATCCCAGCACTTTGGGATTACAAAACTGAGGCAGGCAGATCACTTAAGCCCAGAAATTCAAGACCAGCCTGTCCAACATGGTGAAAACCTGTCTCTGTAAAAAATACAAAAAATTAGCCTGATATGGTGGCTTCTGTAGTCCTAGCCACCCAGGAGGCAGAGGTTCATAGGAGGCTGAGGTTCAGGATCACTGAGCTTGGTGGTTGAGGCTACAGTGAGTTGTAATCACGCTGTTGCACTCTAGCCTGGGTGATAGAGCGAGACCCTGTCTCAAAAAAAAAAAAAAAAAAAAAATCAATTCAGGCCGGGTCCAGTGGCTCAGCCTGTAATCCCAGCACTTTGGGAGGTATAAGTGGGAGGATCACTTGGGGCCAGGAGTTTGAGACCAACCTGGGCAACAAAGTGAGACCCCCATCTCTATCTTTAAAAGTAAAAGTTCAAATCTATCTTCTCAAGAATGTCTTCCCTTAGGCTGTAGTAATTTCTCTCCCTCTCAGCTTCTGTCACAGTTTTGGCAGATATTAATTTTATAGGTCACAAACTCAAATGTAACTTTATTTTTTGCAATTGACCTTAATTTTAATTTTAAGCCGCTATTCCTCTCAGCAGTGGAAAACGTATTCTTTACAATTTAAGGTAATCTCAGTCACTTCAGTGTTGATTCAGTCATTTCAGGTTAATACTTATAGTTAATACAGGGTTTTCTTTGGCTTTCTGGCCTTATCTCCTCTAGTGACTCACACAATACTTAGCTCATCAGTCTATGTTTTTCTATTTGAAATATGCATAATAAATTAAATGATGATCCTTATAATTTAGCAAAACTGTGACTATAAAAGATCACTGTATTTGAATTTATTGTTAAACCTAAGATGGTAGGAATATAGTCAAAAGGACATAATCATGGATTAGAAGTCTGGAGAGCTGAATTCTCTTTTTTTTTTTGAGATGGAGTCTCGCCCTGTTGCCCAGGCTGGTGTGTAGTGGTGCGATCTTGGCTCACTGCGGACTTGACCTCCCGCGTTCAGGTGATTCTCCTGCCTCAGCCTCCTGAGTAGTTGGGATTACAGGTGCCCACCACGACGCCCGGCCGATTTTTGTGTTATTAGTAGAGATGGGGTTTCACCATGTTGGCCAGGCTGGTCTCGAACTCCTGAGCTCAGGTGATCTGCCTGCCTCTGCCTCCCAAAGTGCTGGGATTATAGCCTTCAGCCACCAGGTCCAGCCCGAGAGCTGAATTCTTACTATGACTTAATATGTAACTTTGGGCAAGTCACTTAACCTCTCAGAACCAAAATTTCCCCTATAAAATTAATGGGGGAGGAGGAGGGATTGGACGAGGTGATACCAATGTGCTTTCCTGATCTGTGTTTGGGAGGTAAGTTTAAAAATAATTTGTCCTATAAGAATTTGTTTGCACTTGCCAAAACATCTACTTCTTGATCTTATTCACTGATTTGATATTTTTTAACTTTATGAGTAAAACTTAACAATCAAAAGAAGTACAGAATCAGTAAAAACATTATTGGTCTGTCTTGAGAAAAATTATTTAAATAAATATATTCATCCTATGTCCCCTTTCTGTTTGCTACTTTTTGTTCCCCTAGACATAATGTCAAGTGGAAATGATCAGCAGTCAGAGGCTCTTAGCAAACCCACTTTCAGTGAGGAACAGGCCTCTGCATTAGCGGAGTCAGTGTTTGGGTTGAAAGTTTCCAAGGTCCAGCCACTTCCTAGCTATGATGACCAAAACTTTCATGTCTACGTTTCAAAAACCAAAAATGGCCCAACTGACTATGTCCTCAAAATAAGCAACACCGAGGCTAGCAAAAATCCAGACCGGATTGAAGTGCAGAATCACATCATCATGTTTCTGAAAGCAGCTGGATTTCCAACATCCTCTGTGTGTCGCACTAAAGGAGACAACACAGCTTCTCTCGTGTCTATAGGTAAGAGATGACCAACTTGCTGACCCATTACCTATCCAGACACATCACTGCCTTTTGACCACAAGTAGAACTATGAAGGGCAAGTTCATAATTCCAAGTGTAGATGTGGTTGTTATTTTTTTAGCAACCTCAATAGTACACCCTTAGAGGTGGTTATTTTTTCAGTGTTGGGAGAAGCCACAGCATCATCAAAGTGGTGATTGGTCCTCTGATTGAGTAGTGGTTAGAGCCCAGTGTGGTATAAGTTTTCTGTTTAGAAAGGCCCTGATAGATAGTAACTAAGGGAACTTGTGAAAATCAGGGGAACATTTTTTGTTTTGTTTGTTTGTTTGTTTTGTTGTTGGTGGTTTTGGGTTTTTATTTTTATTTGTTTGTTGTTTTTTGAGATGGTCTCACTCTATCATCCAGACTGGAGTGCAGTGGCGCAGTCACAGCTCACTGCAGCCTTGACCTCCTGGGCTCAGGTGATCCTCCCGCTTTAGCCTGCTGAGTAGCTGGGACTACAGGCACGCGTCACCACGCCCAGCTAATTCTGTAGTGTTTTTGTAGAGGCAGGGTTTTGCCATGTTGCCCAGGCTGGTCTTGAACTCCTGGCCTCAAGTGATCTGCCTGCATTGGCTTCCCAAAGTGCTGGGATTACAGGCATGAGTCACCATGCCTGGCCTGTTTTTTGTGTTTTTTTTTTTAACCAGAAAAATAATAAAATATTTTTATTACTTAGAGAAGCTATAAATTCTGGTGCTGCAGTATAGTAGAAAGAATATTGGGAATCAGGAATTTTAGATTTTAGCTTTGTCATTACTGTATATGTAACCTTGTTCACATAGACCACTTAAATCCCTAAGACCACCAGTCCTTATCTGTGAGACAGTCCTTTTCACCTCAAAATACTAAAATGCCAACAATGGACCTAATTCAGCTCTTTAAGCAGCAGGCTAAAACCAATTTCTTCAAGTTTTTTTAAAGGTTCGAAATCTTGATTGTCTTTTTCTCTCTTAATTATTCACCATTCTTTCTTAATTTGCATTGCTACAAATACCTGAGGCCCATTGTTCCCTGAGACATAGTTATTGTCCTGTGTTGCAAACACAGGCTGTCCTGCAGGAAGCCTGATTCTGGAAGTCATTTATTGGTACCTCACTCCCTTCAACTGTGAACTTATGAAAGAGTATGTGTTGTTGCTTTCATTTACCACAGTAGGTAATTTCTGTGTAGAGCTAAGGCCAGCAGAGTTGGGGCTATAATTTTGTTGGTATGTAAATGGCCAGTTTCAGTGTTCTTAAGGTTTGTGTATTCTACCTTCTTGCTTCATCCACTCAACTCTGCCTCATAGAATCCTGCCGAGCTGTTTTAGATTAGCACATTTTTGTTGTTGTTCTGTAATTTCTGTTCTTTTCAATAATACTTGCAAAGGCATAATAGCTTCTGATTCTATTATATCTAAATATCTATATCTATCTGTCTCTCAATGTATATATTTAAAATAGTCAAAGGATATTTTATTCCATCCATTTAGATAGTGGCTCTGAAATCAAAAGCTACTTGGTGAGGCTGCTGACTTACCTCCCAGGAAGACCCATAGCTGAGATTCCCATGAGCCCCCAGCTATTGTATGAAATTGGAAAGCTAGCTGCCAAATTGGATAAGACACTGCAGGTAAGATATGGGGCTTTATTTTATTCTAAGGGACGTTTGTTTGTTATTTTATTTTTAAAATAAACTAAGAATCAGATTCTCTTTTTATGTATGGTGCACCTAAGGTATGTTATGAAGGGAATGGAGTCCTAGAGTGCATACATTTTATGACAGTAAGGCTAACTTCTGCCAAACTCTTACTGGTGTAGTCCGGGTGTGGTGGTCCACGCCTGTAATCCCAGCACTTTGGGAGGCTGAGGCAGAGGGATCTAACTTGAGGCCAGGAGTTTGAGACCAGCCTGGCCAAAATAGTGAAACCCTGCCTCTTCTAAAAAATACAAAAATTTAGGGCATGGTGGCATGTGCTTGTAGTCTTAGCTACTTGGGAGACTGAGGCAGGAGAATTGCTTGAGCCAGGAGGTGGAGGTTGCAGTGAGCCGAGATCACACCACTACTCCAGCCTGGGCGACAGAGCAACACTGTCTCTAAAAAATTTTTTTTATTTATTTTTTATTTATTTATTTATTTATTTTGAGACGGAGTCTCACTCTGTCGCCCAGGCTGGAGTGCAGTGGCCGGATCTCAGCTCACTGCAAGCTCCGCCTCCCGGGTTTACACCATTCTCCTGCCTCAGCCTCCGGAGTAGCTGGGACTACAGGCGCCCGCCACCTCGCCCAGCTAGTTGTTTTGTATTTTTTAGTAGAGACGGGTTTCACTGCGTTAGCCAGGATGGTCTCGATCTCCTGACCTCGTGATCCGCCCGTCTTGGCCTCCCAAAGTGCTGGGATTACAGGCTTGAGCCACCGCGCCCAGCCAATTTTTTTAAATTAAAAAATAAATAAATCTTACTGGTGTATTGGAAAGATTACCTAAATTTTTAGAAATTCATGATATTCTTCATGCTGCTCACTGAAAACAATCAATATTCACAAATGGAAACGTGAAGATTTCATCCAGTCACAATATAATCAGCTGGAGTTCCGTATGAAGCAATAGCTAGGTTGCAAATGGATTAATAGTGTATGTTAAGGATGTTTTTGCCCTATAGAAACAATATAATGTATGACAGGTGCCTTTTAGACTCACCCATAAAACATTTTCATTTATTCAATATTGACTGAGTACCTTTTATATTAAAAAAAATCACAAGACAAAGGAAATATATTTACTATTTATTAAGTAGAAATGGATCATCATAAAGGTCTTCACTGTCATCCTCACTTTGAGTGGGCTGAGGAGAAGGAGGAAGAGATGGGGTTGGTCTTTTTTTTTTTTTTGAGACAGGGTCTCCCTCTGTCTCCCAGGCTGGAGTGCAATGGTACAGTCACAGCTTAATGCAGCCTCAACTTCCCAGGCTCAAGCAGTCCTCCCATCTCAGCCTCCCGGGTAGCTGGGACTACAGGAGTGTGCCACCACACCCATCTAATTTATTTTTGTATTTTTTGTAGAAATGGGGTTTAGCCATGTTGTCCAGACTGGTCTCAAACTCCTGAGCTCAAGCAATCTTCCCACCTCTGCCTCCCAGTGCTGGGACAACAGGCATGAGCTACCCACGTCTCGCCAGGGGGTTGGTCTTAGTATTAGGCCATTCTTGTGCTGCTATAAAGAAATACCTGAGACTGGGTAATTTATACAGAAAAGAGGTTTAGGCCAGGTGCGGTGACTCACGCCTGTAATCCCTTCACTTTGGGAGGCCAAAGCAGGAGGATCACTTGAGGCTAGGAGTTTGGGAGCAGCCTAGGCAACATGGTGAAACCTTGTGTCTACTAAAAATACAAAAAATTATCCTGGTGTGGTGGTGCATGCTTGTAGTCCCAGCTACTTGGGAGGCTGAGGCGGGAGGATCACCTGAGCCCAAGAGGTTGAGGCTGCAGTGAGTTATTATCACACCACTGCACTCCAGCCTGGGTGACAGAGCAAGACCTTGTCTCAAAAAAAAAAAAAAAGAAAAGAAAAAAGAAAGAAAGACATTGCTCCACTTCTTGCTTGCATTTTTTCTTTTCTTTTCTTTTTTTTTTTGAGACAGAGTTTCTGTCTGTCATCCAGGCTGGAGTGCAGTACTGTGACCTTTGCCTCCCAGCCCATTGCTTGCATTATTTCTGACAGGAAATCTGCCATCAGATTCTTCCTCTTAATGTAATGTGTCTCTTGTATGTATGTGGCTGCTTTTAAGACTTTCTCTTAAGGCCGGGCGGGGTGGCTCACACCTGTAATCCCAGCACTTTGGGAGGCTGAGGCAGGCGGATCACTTGAGGTCAGAAGTTCAAGACCAGCCTGGCCCACATGGCAAAACTCCATCTCTACTAAAAATACAAAAATTAGCTGGGCATGGTGGTGCATGCCTATAATCCCAGGTGGTTTGCAGACTGAGGCAGGAGAATTACTTGAACCCAGGAGGTGGAGGTTGCAGTGAGCCAAGATTGTACCACTGCACTCCAATCTGGGTGACAGAGCAAGACTTCATCTTAAAAAAAAAAAAGAAAAAAAAATTCTCTTTATCTCCAGTTTTGAGCAGTTTGATTAAGGTGTGACTTTGTATAGTTTTCCTTGAGTTTCTTATGGTTACCTTCCACTGGGATTCCTTGAGTGGATGTAGTGAAATTACTTGGAAGCAGTTTGATCCTTTTGGGTCATGCTTTTACTACTTAATAGATGGGACCAAGGGTCAATTTACTAATCAGAATCCTTCAGTGTCCTGTGAACTGTGAGGTTTTCCAGTGTGGACGGTAGGAACAGGCACTCTTCCTGGCCCTGTGCGTGCCAGGTACTCTTTCCTCTAATCCCTTCAGGTAGCTCTTTCCCCAGTTTTGAGTAGTTTCCTCACATTTACACATGGGTCATACACCAATCTGCTAAATTCTCAAGGCGAACATAATGCAGATCCCTGGAGTGCTCTCTCTCTGCAGCTCTCCCATTCCTGGTCATCTGTCCTGCAAACTCAAACTACCTTGGTCTTCCCGGACTCTCAGCTCTACCTCCTCAACTCAGAGAGTCCTCTGGGCTCCATCTGGGTCTTCCCTCTCTGCACCACATTCTCTGTCAAGGCAGTGAGCTGGGGCAAACTACCGTTGTGTGTTTTATTTTATTTTATTTTATTTTTTTTGAGACAGGGTCTCACTCTGTCACCCAGACTAGAGTGCAGTGGCACGATCTCAGCTCACCGCAGCCTCCGCCTCACAGGCCCAAGGGATTCTCCTGCCTCAGCCTCCTGAGTAGCTGCCACCACTGCCCAGCTAATTTTTTGGTATTGTTAGTAGAGACAGGGTTTCACTATGTTGGCCAGGCTGGTCTTGAACTCCTGACCTCAAATGATCCACCTGCCTCGGCTTCCGAAAGTGCTGGGATTATAGGCGTGAGCCACCACACCTGGGACCCTTACTTGTTTTCATTCTCTCAGGGATCACTGTTTTTCATTACCTAATGTCTAATAACTTGAAAACCAGTGTTTAATGTATTTTGTCCACTGTTTTTGATTTTTCTGGCAGGAGGGTAAACCCCCTCTTGGCCAAAAACTCAAGACCAGGCTGGGCGCAGTAGCTTACGCCTGTAATCCCAGCACTTTGGGAGGCCAAGGCGAGTGGATCACCTGAGGTCAGGAGTTTGAGACCAGCTGGCCAACATGGTGAAACCCCATCTACTAAAAATATAAAAATTAGCCGGGTGTGGTGGTGGGTGCCTGTAATCCCAGCTACTCAGGAGGCTGAGACAGGAGAATCACTTGAACCCAGAAGGCAGAGGCTGCAGTGAGCCGAGATCACACCACTGCACTCCAGCCTGGGCAAGACAGAGCGAGACTCTGTCTAAAAAAAAAAAACTGAAGCCCCTGCAGTGTAAGTAGTATTCATTTATCCTTAGATCATCAAATAGAAATATTGTAACCTTTTTTTCTGATTAAAAATCCTTGTGTGATCCATTATTTAAAGAAAACTAGATAAAAATACAAAGAAAAATTAAGTTACTGGTAATTCCATCATCCAGAGATGACATTCTCTGAACCATTTATTCCATGTGCCACACTATTCCACAGCCCCAGGGGCATACTTGGTGCTTAGCATATGTTTATAAACCCACAGACCTTTTTCTGTACTTACAATAATCACCATTTTATATTGCACTCTATTCATCTATTCAACACATATTTATTGAGCTTCTACAAGGGTTTGGGTGGTAAACATATTAAACATTTCACTTGAAATAGTTTTCAATTAAGTTTGAGCAAATTCATTTGTGGACTTTCGTTAAAATGTTCATTTGTTCATAATAATATAATTTGGATTTATATAGCCCATTCTAATTAATTTATTTTTAGGAAATTTTCTTCACATATTAATTTTATTTAGAAAACCTTTGAACTGGGCCGGGTGCGGTGGCTCATGCCTATAATCCCAGCACGTTGGGAGGCCAAGGTGGGTGGATCAGTTGCGGTCAGGAGTTTCAGACCAGCCTAGCCAACATAATGAAACCCCGTCTCTACTAAAAATACAAAAATTATCCGGGCGTGGTGGCAGGTACCTGTAGTCCCAGCTACTTGGGAGGCTAAGGTAAAAAGAATCACTTGAACCCAGGAGGCGGGGGTTGCAGTGAGGCGAGATCACACCACTGCACACCAGCCTGGGTGGAAGAGTGAGACAACATCTCAAAACAAACAAACAAACAAACAAAAAAACCCAAAACAAAAACCTTTGAACTGATTGTAGTGCTCAGTAAAGTCTGTCTACCTTCCTCAGACTTAAACCTACTATTGAGCTGTTTAAATGACTGTCTGCTACATAATAGCTTTCCTTTACCAGTAACCTTTCCTTCTGCCCTATCTGTGGGCTTCATTCATATGCCTATGGCCACTGAACTTTCAACTTTTCTTGCTATATTCTGAAAAAGTAATACGGTTTCAGAGGGAAATAGCACCACATCATTGCTGACAGTGAGTCACTTCTGCTGTGCATTTAGCCACCTACTGCTCTGCTGTGCAACTTACTTTAAGTTGTCTTACAGAGGACAGTGGAGCTCTAGAGGGAACCAAG